CATGGCCGATGGACGCCACAGAGTTGAGGCCGGGAAAGCGCGGACCGTTCAAAGATTTTGGCTCCTTGGAAGCATGAGCCCAGCTTCACACAATCCGGGAAGCTATGTCCTCGCATCATGTACCCTATCGCAGTGGGACGAGCGGTCTCATCGAGAAGATGGTTCTCCGTCGTCGTCACTCATCAACGACATAACGCAGTTGTCGTCTAAGCACGCTCCTTGGGGGATCCTCTAATCTCCTTCTTGAAGACCCTAACTGGACCTAAAACAGCAGAACATGCAGCATAACCAATTTAGAAAATCATCGGGTCAGCAACGTTGCCGGGCCGGGCCGTAATATTTCTCGGCTAATGTCACCAAATGGGCTCTTAGTACGTCAACTATGGGACCAGCGCCGTTCAGTGAGCTGCAATGACGATGAACATGTTTACATGCGGTTTGCCGTGATGGTGCTACTCGCAGGACAAACGCCAGCCACCTTTCCAAACTCGACATGCCCAGGCAGTTCACAGTGAAGTCGAACCCCGTCCACGGCGAGTAGAGCGTCGTGCATTCGCTCATTCATCGACGGCCCACACCTTTTATTATCACCTCTAGCACTTGGTACCCACCCCTGCAGGGAAGAGCAGGTACCTGACTAGGTAGTTGGTCATATTGGTTACAAAGCAACAAGCTACCACACCACCAAGAGACGAAAGGGAATGAAGAGACATGGGGCATCCACGCAGCACACTCACTACTCGTGCATACTGCGGCCGTCTCTGCAGCCAACCCGCTCGCGGGAACTGGCGCGGGCCCTCGGGACCCCAGATGGACGAGCCTGGGACATGAGTTGTTTATTTACGGTTGTCCAAGTATGAACGCCGGTTGGTCTTTAGGGTACAAGGCGTTTCCTCGCCCCTGCGACGTACCGAGGACCTCTTAGCTCTCACAAGCTCATTGCTTCCGACTAGCCTTGCGGATGTGACGGTGCCGATTCATGACATGTTCTACTGCGGTACACCCGTACCTCGTACAAAGTATGGCAAGACGGGCAGGTGCGAGCCCAGCTGAGTCTCTGCCGTGGGCTGGAGGGCAACGCAACAGACGGAGCACGGTTTCAGTGACGATGACGACAGCCATTACAGGAAACCACGAGGGAGGACCATGAGTCCATGGAACGGGACGCCACAGGTACTGGGCACTCATCGCCGTCTCCACGATTTTAAATATGGGGTTGTCGGTCGGAGCTGAATTCGGCAAGCTGGCCGTGACACTTGTTGTCTCCCAATTTGTCTCCCGGCTTGCCGGAGGTTTTGGCACCTTGCGACTCGCATTGTCCTCTCCAACAACGGTTACCTACTTACCTACCCAAGTACCCAAGTAACGTACCCTTGGGGAAGAATCCGGTCTCTTTTGCCAACTGTGAAGTCTGCACACCATGGCCGTGTTACCAATCAATGAGTTCAAGCAAGAGGCATCAGGGCACCACGAGACAACTTGCTTCCACGCACAAGCCCATCCCACACTCCACACACCTGCCACGCAGCGAAGTCTTCCTGGCGTGGACGCAGCATCAGGGCTGCACGCCCCCTCTCCACAGTTCTCGTGGCGTCTGGCACACCAGACTTCTTCTCATCGCCCGATTGTGGCTGGCTCGCTTGCGCCATCCGGCGTCTCCTGTGTTTATTTGCATTCGTGCTTCCGCGGCATGTGCGGGCCAGCTGCCTTTCCGAGGAGGAATCTCGGTGGAACGTGGTCATCTTGTAAACGGGCAGGACGGGACACATCCATTGCGGTATCAGCCGTGGGTACGGGATAGGGCTGTCACTACTCCGTACCAATTAATGGCTGCTGTTCGGCATGCTTGGAAACAGCAGCGACGAGGAACCGGCTTTGCTTTGTCCTACACGCTGACGAGGTGCATGGCCGGTAGCCAACGAGCTGTGCCATCCGCTCTGTTGGGTCGCGGCTAACATGTGGTGGTTCGCCGCCAATGCTCCGACGTGGAATTGGAGTTGCGGATAATTATTCCCACGCTTACAAAAGCATCAACCAACCTGGACCGGCCGTCTCTTCCTTTGCACATCTCGGCCATGCACGATAACCAATGCCAATGCCAATGCCGGTGCCGGTGCCGGTGCCGGTGCCAGTACTAGTGGCGACGTATCATTCCCGTCCGCACGGAAGTCAACTTTGTGTCCCAATCTGTATTATGCCTCTGCTGCGATATCACGTGGTGCTTGACCTCTATTGCCTGTACCCTGGTGCATACATGGCATAGTGGTACTCCGAAAGTACTCCGTAAGTTGTGGGCAATCACGGGATCTCGGCCCTGATGATTATCACCAGAGAGGGGTTGAGTGACGAAGCGGCGCAGGGAAACAAAACCGGGGGAAACCTCTGCGCCAGAGAGAGGTCCTGATGGCGAGGACGGGAGTCCTTGGCCCATGCCTTATTTATTGTTATTTTTGACGGCTATTTTGGCCTGCGGGTCCATGGAACTGTTTGGTGTCGGTTACTTGGGACACTCCCCGTACCATGGATTGGGAGGACAAGGACGAAGGAGCTCCAGGTCGTTATGTACGGAGTAAGGAACTTGTATGACGAGGCCTGCTAGTCTGACCTGACGACCGGACCGGATACAGACGGCCACACCCAGATTGCGTAGCCTGGAGTCTTGACCGCCGTTAGAATCTCGGCAGTCAGGACATTAGGCAATTTATGCGAACGCAAGTCTCTGCACCTCATGTCGAATGCAGCAATAACATCATCGGCCCCGGCTGTCAGGTCGCATCGCGCCGAACCTTGTCCCACACGGCAACAGGAGCTCGCGGGCGACAGGGCCAAGCAAGAGGCATACATTCGATTGATTGAACTGAGCGAGGGTCTCAGTTTTCGACGCATCTGTCGATACATTGGCATTGGCAAATATGTTTTGAGTATTTCTTTTTTTTTAAAAAAAAGAAAAAAATTCCTTTCAACACTGCCTCTAGGGATCTATAAAAAAAAGAAACAGAAAGAGTGGGCGAGAGGCAGAGAGACAGGGCGGGAAAGGGTCATCGAGGCTCAACCCATCTTGACGGAATTGCATTTGTCCGCCAAAAGGGAGATGGATGGTGGACGGCCCGGTTCCCGTTTCCATGCTGCGTCGACCGTCACCGTCTGGACTCTGCTGGGCAAAATCCATCATCGAAAGGATGGGGCTGTGGTCCATAGTCCAATGAGTAGGCGCGAAACGAGACACGACCGGAGGAGACGGCGGGGAATTGGGCGACAGGACAAAGGGGGCAAAAAGGGCACCTGAGCAGACCAGGACGACAGCAGACCAGAGAAGAGGGAGGGAAAAAAAAAAAAAAAGCCGTTCCCTTGGTACCACCCGACCGACAACAGTGGGTGTCGGTACTCCGTAAGGCGTCATACGTCTGGGCGGGCACACGCCCTCGAGTGAGAGCTGTTTGTTGACTGGCGAGCGGTCCGGTTGCGGCTCGGCCCAACTTCACGGTCGAAGCGATCCAACCCTGGATCTGAGCTCAGCGTCTCACTGCCGTCGTCACGCCGCCGGTGGCAGATGCTTGGCTGCTTGGCTGCTTGGCTGCTTGGCTGGGAGGGGACCGGGAGGGTTTCCAGACGTCCGCTGCGATTAGGCGGCCCTAGACCCCCAAGACCCCCTAGACCCAACAAAATTCAAGGTTAGCCTCAATCTGGGCCCGAGCACTGGGAACGGCACGACGCCGGCCCATCCGCCCGTCACTACATTCCCGCCTTCTGGTGCTCCTGGGTTCCCATGCCGTGTCAATTCATGCATCCCAAGGTTCTTTGTCTTCCCATTGGCATTGTCCGCTCCGCAGCGGCTGTCCACAGGCCACCGTCCACAGCCCACACACAGCCCGCCTCTCTCTCGTCTTCCCTTCTTCCCTGCATGACGGAAGCGTGAGCAGGCTAGGCTGCGGCCTAAAGTGGTCTTGGACCACCCCTTGGACCCCCCCCCCAACCCTTCCTGGGCCTTGGACCTTGAACCTTGAACCTGGGGCCGTGGGCTTTGGCAGACACTGTTTACTTAAGTAAGTACTCGTGTCACACCTGACACCCTCCCTCCCTTCTCTACCCGAGGCCCCGTCCGTCCGTTTGGTCGCGTTGCGTCGCCCCCTCAAGAACCGAATGCAAGGACGGAGACGCAGGCGCAGTGGTACCGCCACGGCTACGGCTCTCGCTGGAACCCTTATTATTACTTACTCCTGGCAACTGGCCAGAATGGGCGGCGAGGAGAAGCCCCCGCGTCCGCGGCCCCGTGGCCACTCGGTCCGGGGCGCCATCACGAATTCCACAGCTCAAAATGCCACGGATCACGGAGCGGCCTCAGTCTTGTAATTAGCGGTCTGGCGCCTGAATTTGTCGTCGAGGCCCCCGACCGCTTCTGTCGGCTGCCCGTTGGCTGCTACGAACTTTCTGGTAATCCGTATCCGTACTCCGTACAGACCAGGGCATCCAGCCAGAATTCGGCAACCTGTTCATCTCCAGCGCCGTCTTCCGTTCCGGCCCCGAGTCACCACCGTCACTGAAGAGTCGACTGCTAATTGCCCGTGTCACCTTCTCCCCACTAGCCTTGGACCAGGGGGCCCTTTGAGATGACGTCGGGGACGAGCCACGTATCGTCGTCAGAAGCTTCACGCGGGCCAACTTCTTGCCTTGCACCAACAAAATCCCATCCGGATGCTTGAGGGAGGGAAGGAGAAAAAAACACACACACACACACACACACACACACACACACACACACAAGGTCCAGCGAGAGCACTCGCTTGTCGACTTTGCTTGTGGTCAAGTCTGAAGTCAAAGGCCGCAGGCAGTGACCAGCAGTGAGACGTCTCAGAGGCTGCATAACACCAGGCTGACTGACAAGTGTCCATCACCAGATGGTCGCGACAGTCTCGGCATATGTACAATAAGGTGGAAACGCACTCGACATGAAAGACATTGTACCTTGCTCGTCTGCTATGTACTTGAGGCCCAGGCATCTATCAGCCGGCCGGTAGCCGGTTGTCGACCTCGTCGCGCAATTCGACCAATCGTGGTTTTCCGGCGTCGTCTATAAGGAAACGCTCTCCAAGTCCACGTCGGTATCCTTGGCCATCGAGTGTCTGGGTGCGCGGGCTTGGTCGTCGTCCTTGCTGCAGCACCAAGAACCAAGACAGCGTGCCGACATCCCAGCTACGGAGTACACACGTACAGTCGACAGCGACGGCGTGGCCACCAGCGACGGCGACGACACAACCGACGCCGCTCACGACGGAGTTCTGGTCACCACCAGATGCAACATTGAACATGCGCCATGCCTGCCCTGGCTTGGACGTCTAGACGCACGCCTCGGGGTGCGGCCGCTAAGCACACCCCACCTCCCTTCATGCCCCAGTCCCAAGTACAGAGTAGCGGCGACAACGGCAGCAAGGAGGCACGGGGACGGCGAGCAAGAACGAGTACTTGTACAAGCAGCTATCCACGTCGGGCTGCCTGGCCTGCTTGCCACTCAGTGCTCGAGCTGCTTGGGCGGCTGGCTGTTGACGCTTCTGCTGCTCTCTCAAGTCTCAAGTGCTCCATTGCCATTGATCTGACGGCCAAAACCGCTTCGTTGATCTCGCCTCGCCTCGCCTCGCCTCGCCTCGCCTCGCCCTCTCCTGCGCCTGGCTGGCTTCCTTCCCTGTCACTCCGCGCATGCACTTGGCACCTCGCACCTTCCTGCACATCAAGACTGGCACTCGCACTCGCATTCACATTCACACACGCACACACGCACACACGCACACACGCACACACGCACGCACGCACGCACGCACGCACGCGCACACCTCTCCTCTCTCGACTCTCGCTCACCTCACACCACTCACTAACCACGCACATATTTCTCGCTCGGCTCCCAACCTGACCGACTCCTCCTCCACAACCATCCTCTTCTCTGGCACACGCACTCTCTCTCGCCCTCTGCTGTTGTCGCAGATTCTTCTGGAGAGAGTGAGTGCATTCTCCCCGTTGCCTGCTACCTCCCACCCGACTGCTTACTGCTTACTGGATCTCGCATCCCGAATACTGGACGCCGGCTGGGCACTGCGCACCGCCCGCCAACTACCTAGGCTACCCAGTCTCGCACCGGCCTCTTGATCTCGATCCCCGTATTGCACCAACATACGCCGTTGTGTGCGCGGCTTCGGCATCATCCCGCCGCCTTGCCGCCCGAGTTGGGGAGTTGGAAGTTGGCCCTTTCCTTCGCCTCGCCCGCTCGCCTAGAGTCAACTTCCACCCGGCGCTGCGTCTGGACCTTCGGCCTGGTCTTTCCAAGTTAACTTTTGGACCAAGTCTCCAACGCTCGCACTCTTGTCTCCTGTCTCGAGGATACCCTTGTGTCGTGGCCGCGCAGCGCAACCTTGAGTCTTAGTCTGCCACTCCGTCATCTCGCCAGACCCGCCCGTTCGTCGTCTTGTCGCGCGCGACCTGTCCCATCAAGGAGCCACTCCAGGTCGACGTCACTGGTTTTCGCCGTCCAAGGGTAACAAGATTCCATCAACTGCCCCGGCTGTTGACAAAGACGCCTCTCCCCATCCTCACGACCTGTCATGACCCATCAGCACGCCGTCCTTCGCCCGTCTTTCTGAAAGGAGAAACTCGAATACATCCTGGCCTTCTGCCCCGACAGAGGCCAACTCTGCGCCTCAACCTTTTGCATCGCCATAGCATGGCCGACGACCGCTACCGCCAGGATCGTCCTCAGCAGAATCGCCCAGAGGACCAGCCATCGCAGCTTTCTCGCCAACACCTCCCACCCCCCGCAGACGAGCCCCGCGCATCGTCGGATTCTTCTCGAGCCGGTATGGCCGCCTCTGTAACTCTTCCCTCCATTCACGACCCTCGCTCCAGCCCCTACGGCGCTCCTGCCCCCCCCTCTGGCGGGCGAGGCTACGCTCACGATCCTCGTTACGCCTCGCCAAACGCCGTGAATGGCTATCCGCCGCCACCAAGCGGCCAGCAGCCGCCGTCTTCGTACTTGCCGCCGATGCAGTCTCAAGATCCAAGAGGCTCTGCCTATCACCCGGCTGAGCACAGGCTGGGCCCTTACTTCGATGACCGAAGAGGACCGTCTCACCCTGAGGGCGCTTACGGTCAAGACGCCTACTTCTACCGACCACCTCCCGGTGCTCCTCCAAACGGCTATCCCAGACCACATCCTGGAGCATACGGCCCAGAGTATGCGCAGCCTGGCAATGCGCCGCCTCAAATGGCCCAGGCCGCCCCTCGGCAGCGGACTTCCATTGCTTGCAGGTACTGCAGAAAACGCAAGGTGTGTTCCTCCTCTATCTCGCTGTTGGACTTTGGCTGCTGGCGCGTCTGCAGCTTGCTGCTGATTGATATTCTCGTTCTGCCCCTTGGGCGCCCTTCTCGGCTGACTTGCCCACCTGCTGACACGAGTGATAAGATTCGATGCAGCGGTTATCAAAGTGCCCCCGGCGGAAAGTGTCAAAACTGTGCTCGAATGAACCAAGAGTGCATTTTTCAGCCTGTTTCTTCTTCAAGCTCGACCGCCTTCATTCCCGTCTCCGCGGTACCAGGCGGCGTTCCTCCTGGTACCCAGCTTTTTGGAGCCTACGGCCAGCCTCTGGCGCCTAACTCGGTACCACCCTCTCATCACTTTGCTGCCGCCGGCGGCCCGCCTCCGCCCCCTTCCGCGGCCGCTGGAAACTACTACCAGCCGATGCAGTCTCCAACTGACTCCTTCTCATCATATGGGGACCCGAGAGGAGATGACCAGGTGGCAGGTCGACGCCGCCGTCGAACGCCAGAAGAACACGAGGAAGGATACCGCCTCCCGCCACCCCGAAATGCCATGTCCGACGATGATCCCCGCAGAAGGTCCCCTGCTGAAGCGTCGAGCAATGGGAGCCCTGGAGGACTTGGACATCTGCCGTACCAGGGCAGCAGCACCAGACGGAGCCCCCGAAACCCGTCTTTGCCACAACCACCAGTAATTACTAGCCACGGGCCCGTTCCTGCCGGAGCTCGCTCGCCCGGAGGTCAGAACGGCTCGAGTGGGACTTCAACGCCATCGCAGGCACCGCGCCAACCCCAGCAGGCTACCTCATCCGTGATGAGCCTGAGCAATCTTGTTGATAAAAACGACATCGATAAGGGAATGATTGATCGTCTCAACCGGCCTCGGGACGTGAAGGGATCGCCCCCGGGTGCGTCACGACAGGACACGTCTCATTGAAAAGGCATTGGCACCCTTGCATATATTAGACGGGAGGGCGGTGCGGGAGTTGTCACGATGCGGAAGCGTGGTTCGGTTCACGTACGCCACCTAGAGATATCTACGGGGCCATTGGTTTTCTTGTTGGAGAAGACGCGAGGAATTGGAAAACAAAAAAACTGAAAAAGACAACAAAAATCAGGTTGACACTGCCGGACAGTCTGTCAATTCGTGCGCACGTCCTCCCTACTCCCAAGTGGCTGGATCACGCAGCCTTTCGACAACGTCTGCCCAACGTCTGCCAGTGATCTCGTTGACGAGATCATATAAACGCGCACACTAAATAAATACTCGTCTTGGGCGAACAAACGCTGGGAGGGTCGTTTTGCAACGAAAAATGTCGGTGGAACCCGTTGGTTTGGCAACAAACATTTCATCCCCTAACCCCCTTTTTTGTACCTTTTTTTTTTTTTTTAACCGGCCCTATGTTAGATTTGCGGCTCGGTTTCCCTGTTGTCCCCTGTGTCCTTTTCTTTTTACCTGTTCTTGGCCCTTAAAGGTCCTTGCGCGCAGGTGTGTTTTCTCTCCCTTGCCGCTAGCTTTGGTCTGGGTCGAGGCAGCTCAGACCCGTTTCTTCATGGCTGCTGGGAACAAAGGAAAAAGGGGGGCACGGAATTCGGGGTGTCTTGACCCTTGTTTCTGCATATGCTGTAATGGATAGGCCCGACTCCATTTACTTGGTTCTTTCTTTTCTTTTTGTTTTTGATTTCCCACGTTACTAAGAAGACGGACATGCCTCGCGGCACCAAACGTTTTGGCTTTTTTCTGTTCATTTTGATTCTCTGTTTGGTGGTTTTTTGTTTGTCCCCTTCTTTATTGCGACTGGCTCGATTACAATGTCTACTTAAAACCAAAGGGAGGATTGGTTGGTCTTGTTTTGTTTACAGACAGTTAGGGTACCCCGTCGCGCAAGCGATCTAAGCGTCGTTCTCGCTGGTGTTCTATTGGCGTCTGTGGATGGGCATTGCCTCCTTGCTCGTTGAGCAGGAGACATACACCATTTACGTCTTAGCAATACAGAATGCTAATTCATGATGAAAAAAACCTCCCCCCTGGCCCCAGATGATGATGTCCGGTGCACTGTCAGAACAGGTCGGCATTTACTATGACATGACATGCATGGAAGACCCTTGCATTGATCAAATCTTGACGGCGTCAACTTGACGCAGTCGACAGCAGAGGGAGACGCCTTGGGATCTCGGGCGTTGTTTATTGGGCATTGGCCCATTTGATAGACGGGGAAAGATGCGACCTTCTCGGGGGGCCCATCCGAGCAAGCAAGCCCACGCAGCTCTGAAGGGTCTGATGCCCCGCACAGACGTTTGTATAGTCGGCGGGCAAGATTTTCTTCTGAGCAGACGGGTCGATGTCGATGGCGGGTGGCCGGCCTCGTGGAATGGGTGTTTCTTTCCGAGATGCCTGCTCTGACAGACAGGCACACGAACCAGTACGATGTCATACTCGACTTCTCGCGCTCGGGCAGGAAACTGACGACGACCAGCGTCCACCCTCCATCTTTTTCGACCTCAGTTCACGATTCGCCTGTGGGTAATTGTGCGGAGCCCGTGGGCGTGGTTCAGAGCGGGCGAGCGAGCGAGCGAGTGAGTAGTGAGTGAGTGGAGAGGCTTCAACCTGTGTCACGGGGCAGATGCAACTTCATGGCAAAGGGATGGATGGAGAGTGGCGGGACCCTGATCCTGGCCACTTTGCCCAGTTTAACGCTGTTGCTGTTGGATCAAGTCGCAGAGGCTAGTCGGCACCGGTGTGGACTGGGTGAGTCGTGACAGCTAGTCGATCATGCGCCACCCGGCCGCCTTTTCCATGATTTCAACAGTCTAGGCAGGCATAGGCAGGCACAGGCAGGCAGTATCGCTGCATGTATCCCGGACAAGCAATCTTGCCAGAGAAGCAAGCTACAAGGAAGTAAATTTGGCCACTAGATTTTCAGACGTGCTAATCCAATGAAAAGACAGCTGCCTGGCCTTGGGAGCGGGAGCCAAGGCAGGGTGGGACAGTCAGTGTTGCTCTCAGGAGAAGGAAATGAACAAGACAAAACCGTTCGACGGCCTGGAGGTGGTGGTTGGCTCGCAAACGAGGCTGACGACGAGCAAATGAGACACGCAAAAGGCAGGAGGAACGAAACCAGGACCAGGTCCGCCGCGGACGTGAGAGAGAGAGGGAGAGAGAGAGAGAGAGAGAGAGAGCACACATGCTTGACGTGGCCCAACCAACTTGACGAAAACGAGTTCCCGAGCCCGGCGCAGGCGATGGCCTGTCCGTGGCCCGGTCGTGTCAAGATACCAGGTTCAGAGGAGCCCGGAGATGAAATGAAGCGCCGGCGGTAGTGGCGGGAAACATTTGGGTTCTGGACTCGGAGGGTCGAGAGGCAGAGCAGAGCAGAGCAGGCAGCAACGAAAAACCGAAAGGCTTCGCTCACCCACTCGACTGCCCACGGCACGGGCACCGCTCCTCGGGGCACACTCCTGCTGAGTCGTCCTCACGCCGCCCCAGCTGACGGCCAGCCAGCCAGCCAGCCAGCGCTGTCAGGCTAGGAAGGGCCGTACAGGGCCGTACGGGAGCGGTGCGGGCAGCTAAGCGTGGCGGCCATTCCCCAATTTTGCCCTCTTTTTCCGTGGCCGTCTCTCGCGCTGCTGCGAGTTTGCGCGACGGGCCTTTGCTCCCGTCCGCTGGGACAGGCGCAGAACCCACTTGGGAGGGAGGGATTCCCAGGACTGGTTGGCTGCCAGCTGCGGAGTCTGGCTTGCTCACGATGCCGGGAGGGGGGGGGGCTTAGAGCCGTTTAGAAAAAGCACTAGGTGGATTTGCTCAGGCAAGCCATGAAAAGGACGGAACGGGAGGGGGTGTCTTGTGATGACTTGAGGAAGTGGCGATGGGTAATGGGTGCAAGGAGAGAAATAAGCTTGTCTTTTTCCGGCGATGGACAAAGTAAACCCAGTATGAATCGGCTCAAACGACCCAAGAGGGAGGAGAAGGGAAGATGGAGTCTGGAGTATGGAGTCTGGAGACTGGAGTCTGGAGTCTGGAGTCTGGAGTCGGACGGAGCCCGGAGTCCGGAGTACGGAGTACGGAGCACTGCTACCAAGCACAGAGTACAACTCACAACAAGAATGGGGAGTACAGAGCTACGAATGCGAGGTTCCAAAGCAAACCAAGGAGAGGGAGAAGGCACACACACACACGGCCTCGGGGAGCCAGCGGGCGGACGGAGCGAAAAAGGGCTCATCAAGACGGTGTTGGGGGTGCGCTCCCCAAGTCATGTCATGGACGGTGGCGTTTTTGTGGCAGCACATTGTGGCATTGGGTTCTAAATTATGGTCCCGTCGTCGTCGTCACGAGACGAGTCACGGAGCCGCACTGACGGCAACAGGCGGGCAACTAGGCGAATTAAAACAGGAGACCGTCTGGTCCGACCCGTGACCTGGCGCAACGCGGGGCCGAGGGACGGTCGATGGCTGCTTCACGCGTTTGCGAGCCGGTCGTTGTCGATGCGAGCCCGTTGTTGCGGGATCGATGCAGATGAGACAAGAGTGTCTTGTGTCCGGGCGTGTTCCTGCATAACGGCGGTGGCAAGACGGACGACACACGGGACAGACGCAGGTACGACGACGCGACGACTCGGCGAGCAGGACGGCCTGCCTTCCTCGGTCCTGATGGACATGTTGCGGCGGATGGGATCGGGCCATGTGCTCCCACTGCTGCCTCGCCCCGTTCTGGACATGTGCGCCGCGTATCACGTGTGGCGGGCCTTTTTGATTTTGATTTTGATTTTGCAGCAGCAGCCGTCATCCCGTTTCCGAAAAGTGAAGTGCCAAGGACGGACGGAGACTTGGTATTCGCATCCCGCCATCGTGAGAGAAAGAGGGGGGTGGAGCGTAAGCCTGCTGCGTCGAGCGCTTTGGCCAGTGGCAAAAAGGGGCGAGGACAAGGCGTGAGGCCCAAGGACGCTCTCGTCGGAGAGGAAGCCAATCACGCAGGCAGCGGGGAGGGAAGAGGGTTGCCAGCCAGCCTGGCTCCGACGGTCTGGGTAGCGGATATCGGCGTGTGGAATGAAAGGGTGTGCGCGTGTGGTGTGGAAGGGGGTAGAAACTGGAATGCTGGCGATGGCCTCTGGCGGCAAAGAGCCGCTCTCTCCCTCTTCCTCTCTCGCGTGCGGCGGCAGTCTTGACTGACAGAGGCTCTTTTTCAATCAGCTCCTCTCGGCCGGCTCCTCTGGGCAGACTCGCACCACCACCCGCGACGTGGTCAAGGAGGAGACAACATGGCATGACGCGGCTTGCTCGGGGGCCGGCAGACAGGGTGGCAATCTTGTGTGTTCAAAAGGGCAGTTGCTCTGTTGCGGGCAGTGTAGCACGGGGGCGGCGGGTTTCGAAAAGGAAGCCAGCCCTTGCTTGTGGTACTCGTGCGGTGTCCCGTCGCGGTGGTGTTCCAGTCGCGTGCGCCGGGCATCCTTGCGATATCTCTCCCTCGGGCGTCGGTTGTGACGCCGAGTCCAAGGGCATCCAGCGAGTCCCGTCTCGTCGTCACGTCCCGCGCTGCCACGGGTAGGTAGGTTGTCGACTGCAAACGTGCCTGTGCCCGGCATGCGAACCGAGGACAGACACACAGCCAGCCAGCCAGCCAGCCAGCCAGACGAGACAGCAATCCAGGCCGGGCCGTGCGGGAGGGGACGGCTCGTCGCAGAAGCAGCGCAGCGCAGCACAGGGTCTCTGAGCACACAGCGCGCGGGCAATCGTCCTCGCCCTGCTCGCCCTGCTCGCCCTGCTCGCCCTGCTCGCCCGCGCCCTCGGCACCCGCGAGCGCCCCTCGCAGAACGGGAGCACGCCATACGCCATACGCCATACGCGCACGCCCTGGCAGCCGGCAGCGACGGAGGGGGGCCACCAGACAGAATCCGGGAATCTCGCAGCGCCCTGGACGGCGGCACGTCACCGTCGTCGAGTCGGGACGTCGTCGACGCGCGGCCCCCTCCGCCCCCCAATGGCCCCGGACGAAATGCAACCTTGGCTGGGGTGCGGGTCGAGAGATGCGCCTTGTTTGCCGGAGACGAAGCTCGGTGGATGCCCTAGGGGGAGAGAAAAAATCCGAAAACTCCGTCCATTCGTGGCTCTCCTCTGGACAGGCCGTGCTGTGCGGCCGCCACCATCGACTATCCGTACATGGACGAGGCCGTTGCCTCCACGGCGCGACGTTGGAAGTGATCCAGCGCCAAGCCCCACCCCCCCGGGTCGTGGGGACTTGTCGCCGAAAACGGCAGTGGGGCTTTTAAGGTTTTGGCCGGAAAGAGAAACAACCGTTGTTGCTCCTTCTTTCCGTCCACTCCTCTCTTTTTCTCTCTCTCTCTCTCTGGCTTTTTTCTTTCTTTTTTTCCATTTTTTTTGTCCCTGCTTCGTTTCCTATACACCCGGGGATACTTGTTCTCGGCCCCAGCCGTCTGTTTCCGTCTTTTCTTCAAGACGCGAGACACTTGTAGATCGTGCCATTCCACGTTGCAGAGCGGTTGCGCGGAGGAATTTGGGATTTTGTTCCTTCTCTGGCGGGGGGCCGCGCGCCAGCGAGCACAGGCGAGGTGAAGAATGTAACGCCGTGCTTGGAGGCGGGCAGCTTGCCGATGGGCTGGGTTCGTGTCCGGGACAAACATGCCCTCCCTGCCCCCGTTGATGCGGCCCTTGTGCCCTGAGCAGCCGCCGTCCGAGGCCGGACGCGGTCATGGTGCCCGCAAGCCGTGGATCGCGAGCGTCTTTCGCACCGTTGCCCGCGAACCGCGCCGCTCTCCGGAAGCACCACGCCGCCGGTCAGAAACAGAAGAAGAAGAAGAAGAAGAAGAAGAGAATACGAAAACAATAACCCCAACAAACCCTCCTTCGCCCGTCGTCCCCCAGGGCAGAATGCCGTCCGGAGGCGGTCAAGCTTTTTGCCCCGACCCGAAGCCCGCCCGCTCGCGGCACACTGCCGGCTCCATCCCGTGCCGCCTACAGCCCGGTCCGGGCCGCCGCCCAGGCGGTCGACCAACAGCCAGGCAGGCAACCTGAGTCGCTCCGAAGGGCGCGGCGGAGACAGGGGGCCCGGTGCCGAACCGGAAATCGGCCTCCGCACCGCACCGCACCGTCTTGCCCCTTGTGCTTTTGTTTTTGTGCTGCCAGTCTTTTTTCTAAAAAAAAAAAAATCACTCGTCCCGCTCTTCTGTTTTTCAGGGGGTGGCCCCTCTCTTCTGCTCTGCCGCCGCCCCCGCCGCCGCGTGCGTGTCCTGCCTACCCTGCATACTATTTGCCGTGCACGGGTTACCCATCGCCAAGCTGTGTTGTATTTGCACACTTTGGTGGCAGAGACAAAAGTGTAGTCTCGAAATCTGGAAAGAAAAATTCAAAAATTCAAGCCGGGACGGGATGCTGAAATGACCCCAAGTCTTTGCTCGCCGTCCGTGTATACCCGTGACGTGACGTGATCCCAAGATACAACTTGCCACCAATACATGTATGCACGCCGCATGTGGCGTCAATGTTGCGACGTCGTGACGCATCGCCAATCGTCGTGGCATTCCTCCTCCGCGACCCTTGTAGCGGCCGGTTTCGTCTCTCTCCAGCACGAAGCAACCTCTCTGCGAACATGCCCTGTGCATTCTTCCTCCTCCACTCCGACCCCATTCTCCGCAACATGACATGACCCGTCGCCATCCTCCTGCATTTGCGGTAATGCTCTTCCACGGCAGATCCCGCTTGCTTTTCTCCCTCAGCCGCACGAGGTAGGAGAACATCTGCATGGGCCGACTCGTAGTCGCGGTCCCGGGTGGCACCGTCCTTGTCAGTCGTACGCAGGAGCGTCCGCACATGCAGCATCAGCGTCCGGAGCATCGGGAACGAGGCCACGCCGCGCAGAGACTCGGGGGGACAACGCAGTGCCTCGTCCGTGTCCAACTCTAGCGTGTGCACAAAGGGCAACCCTTGCCCGAGCCTCGTCACCTCCTCTGGCCGCAACGTCGGGCATTCGCCGTCATCGTGGCTGAGTCCAACGTAATCACGGAAATGAACTCGTCCGAGCGAACCTCCATGCTGCAGTATGCATTCGACATGGAATAGTTTTGTGTGGCATATAATGTCCAGGACCTCCAACGCCTTGATGTGATGCCTGACGAGTAGGCACAGTCCTCGCGTGGCCTCTTCTCGCGCCTCAGACGCGTGCGCCCAGTTGTCGTTGACCTGCAGTCTCGCCAGGTTGCTCAAATCTCTCGGAGAGATGGATTCTAAAAAGTTGAAAAGGGGCACAGAAACAAGCACAAGAGACTTCGTTTCGGACAAGCTCCAATGCCTTTGCACTTCCTCTGCAGAAGGTGACCAGTCGTACGATTTCAAAACCAGACTGGAAAAAGCTGGCAGACGTTCCCCGGTGGAAAGCGCGAAGCTGGTGCCGTGGCCCACGTCTTCATAGTGCAGCCTCTCCAGAGATGGGCACTGCACTAGGAGACGCTTCAACGAGTCTACTTTGGCCGTCAGTGGCGGTGTTGGTCTGGCAACTTTCAGCGACACCAGGTGTCGTGTAAAGTTTGGATCAAGGAGTGACTCGTGCAAGTCGCCGTGCGGAGACCCCAAGGGAAGATTTTCTACCTCCACCTTGGTATTCTGAAAACGCAGTTGATCGCAGTCAGGAACATCCGTGATCGGCCAAACCAAGACTTACGTGACGCAAGACTGCCGAGTGATACTAGACAGGGTTTTCCTTATGCCAGACGGCATCAGATACGCGATTGGAGTTGCAACAGAGTTGAAGACTTGAGAAACGGAGCGGGCCACAGGTGTCGATTTTGGATCTAGATTTTGAAGCTCGACGCCCTTGTCAGCCCGGAGGAACTGTCGTTGCATTCGTTCCCGTTGTCGTTCTTCACCAGAGCCATGCATGGTAAGCATGCAGGTCACAGTACTCACCTGTTCCAGAACCGACACCAGAGTCTCGGTGCTCATTCTGTGTATGCATCGTTGCAGAGTTCTACTACAGTTCAGAGGCGAGAGAGGGCCTCGGCCAGCATGACAAGTTGTGTGTTTGAGCACGATGGAATTCTGCCATGTGTCGTTGTATGACTATGATCCGTCACGGCCAAAGACTCGTACGAGCCCATGATTCGATAATAGGGAGCAAAATTTTCGAACATAGATAGCCAGTGCCGGCTGGATGATAAGGGCAGCTTGTCGAGTCGTGGCTAGGCGGATGATATGTGAGAAATCATCGACTCGCAGCCTTTGGCGACTTCACCAGCCCCGTCAAGGGCCATGGACGTGCACACAAGCTTTCCGGCGAGGCAAATGCAGAAGGAAGCAATCAAAAGTTGACACGGGATTTTTCCAACGGCGGTGAGCGGGCCACAGATGAGAGCCCGGCAGTGCTTCCAGCGCACGAGGTCAACTTTACCGGCATGGGGCTTGCCACTACAGTAGCAAGCCCAAATAGTCAGCAGAGCGCCCTTTTGAACCTGGCGGAAGGCGTCCCTTACCAGCCGCTCGATAATAAGACCAACAAGGGCACGGAAGTGAAAGGGACGATCGGCGTGATGGCCGGTGACTTTGGCCATGTCCACCGTCTGTCGGTCAGTGCTGTGACCGACCAAAGCCACCAATGCCAGATATCGGTTGAAAACAGACTTCAGCTTCAAACGCCAGTCACCGGCCAAGGGACCTGTACTTTCTCACGAATCCATGGCCATGCGTCGCTGGTGTGAGCTGTGGTCGGCTCTCGCAAGAAAGTCCCGAACCGGTAATCTCTCCATCATGACTGGCCAATCAGATCTGGCATTGTGCTTCGTTTGGCTCTAACATCAAGAAAAGCATGGCCGCAACCCAAGTCAGAGCTTCAATCAAATCGCCGCATAAGCCCGTCAGGCTGGAGTGCTAGTTCACCGTTGCTAGTTCCATCACGCAAGGGGTTTCGCGCAACACCAACGAGCGGACGCTAGAAGGGCCACTAGCACGCAGCGATGATGCCGGTCTGGGCCCGGTGACAGACCCCATGCGTGTATCCCCGTTCGTCTCGTCTGGAAAGTGCTTGGGCAGAGTATAAGGCGAAGAGAAGAGGTCGTACTCGAAAACGCTCGGCCACGGAGATTGTTGTCAGGCAAGCCCGCCGCCTCCACCAGCTGAACGCATACGAAACACATGGTTAGTTTTTGGCTTAAAAGATGGGCAGCCTTTCTGGACAGGGTCAATATGCAAGCAGTACTACCTCACAGACCCGGAAGCCTTTCGTCATCGACGCAGCTAGAGCAATGCAATGGAGAAACGGCATGGGACTTGTCGACGCGTTGCAGGCGGCCCAGCCTTGATAGCAGGCACTTGTCGCGCATCTCGTCCCTTCTCGATGGAGATCATGCATGCTGCATGCACCTCCGAGCCAGCACGGCAAGGGGAGACCGTCCGGCGAATGTGAGGTGTGGCGAGCTTGAGCTTGGAATTCGAAACTTGGTCTGGTCTGGCATGCATGTATGTGTCTAGTCGGTATTGATAGTACGGAGTACTGCGGAGAACTCCACAGCACCTGCCTGCCGTCGTTCGTCGCGGTACCCGCTTTTATCCGTTCTGAGACCTCCGCTCCTTCCCCTCGACTTACAAGTTCCTGCGCAGGCTGCAAACGCCATGTGCCAGTGTGGCGACTGGCTGGGAGCTACAGAAACAGGCTTAATTAACCCGAGGCCGCATTGTGATTTCATCAACATTGTTTGTGTCGCCCAGGCTGTCCACGGCCAACGTTACGCCCGCTTTCAAGATTTGGAATTCAAAACACACATTTCTGTTATACACTAGCCTCCATGCCATGCTCTCGGGAAAGCTAGCATAGTCTAATGAAACACGCCAAAAATGCCTTTGCTTGGTGCAGTCATCGCCAACAATAACCAAATGGCACTCGTCTGAAGTTATGTCAAAAGTAGAGACGGGAAAGGAAGAAATGGGGCTACGCTACTCCTCTTTTTTTTTCAAATCTCAAGCCAGGCAGGAAATGTCCAACGGGGTGATGAATCAAGTCGTACTGCTCTTTGCACCGCCCGCCAACGAGTGCGGCTTCGCCACAGACCGAGAGAGAGACTGTTGGTGAACTTGAGATCAACCAATCGCGGCTGTCATCGCCTCTTACAGTGCACTTCTCCCCGCGCGCCGTCACTCCTTGCTCAGGGACCCCTTACCCTTCGGTATTGCCTCATAGATATCCTCATCGTCAGAGACATGTTGATGCTTGCTATGTAGTGGTTGCCCTTGGGCCAACACAGAACGAGAGCCAGAACCACCTGCAGTGTTTGGACCGACACCATGACTGGTCAAGGGCCCAGCAAAGCCTGGATGAAAAGGCTCGTGCGGAAATTCGGGCATGAACTGCGTTGAAGAGCCTCCGGCAACCTTTGCTTCCGCGGGATGCGGGTCGGCGAAAGGATCGTCGGCGGTCGGTTCGTCCCGTTGTGATTGACGCCAGCCAGATGCCACCGCCTGCCCGTTACTGACAGGAGTCGAATGGTATGACTGCGTTTGTTTTCCCTTTCCTGCGTCCCGCACGCCCGCCGTCACACCACCAGACATTGAGCCAATCTCGGTATTGCCGTGGCGCGCTTGGCCCTCGGTGTCTGAGTTGTCTGTCAAAATAGCTGGAGAGTCTTCATTAGAATTGGTGCCGAGACCAAGCTGCTTCCTAGCATTCAAAACCGCTCTCTTATGCTGATTGAGGGCTGTTTGCAACTGCTCGTTCGTGTCAATGAGGCTTTCCATTGTTTCGTTGTCCGGCGCCGGATTTTCGGAAATCATGTAGCCCTGCAGGCTCCTAGACGCGCTTAGGCAGCGATCAGCAAATTCTTTTATCAGCTCGTTTTGCAGCATTTCACCCGGGGGCGTATTCATGACGACCTGCTCCAGGAGTTTCGCCGACGTCCGTGCCTCTTCAAGTCTGGATGAGAGCTCGACGGGCTCAGGGAGACGATTGTGATGATGGGCCTTGGCGAAATAGTTTTGAGAGTGTCGGCTCAGCTGCGGCTGATTCATCACGAATGGCCGGGGTGGTTGAGGCGGCAATCGGTTCTGTTTGCCTCCATTAGCAAGGTATTCAGCCAACCACTTGACACGCCAGCCAATCTCACCCCGTGTTTCTTGACAGCTGCCTCCTTCTCCTTCTTCCACATGAGGACCAAAGGAGCCAGGTTCTGGTCGTGCGTTTTGGTAAACTCAAAGTCGTCCAGGGTCTCCATTAGTATTTGCCATACGCTGAGATCCTTGACATTCTTCAGCAAAGCCCGGACTATATCGACAAACTTGTCATCCAAATTCCTCGTGAAGGTGTCTCCGGGGTTGTCGGTCAGGATGCGGACAAGCATTATTGCATTGTATTGCCAGGACGGCCTCGAGCTATAATCTTTGGTCAAGAACTTTCGAATGACACGAGCGCACTCGGCTGCGGCGGCGGGGGACGATTCTGCGGCATCGACGATGGGAGGAAGGAAGAGAACTTCATCGGTCTATCGGCAGCCGTCTGCGTCAGTCGCCATGATTCGGATTGCGACCCAGGACTGGGAACTCCCAACAGTCCGTCTGCTGTGTGTGACATACCTTGGAGTTTCCGCCAGACTCGCAAAATGCTTTCTGCGGCCGCGAAGCTTGCGGTCAGCAACGGCGCGATGCTGCATCATGTGTGGTGGGGCTCTCGACTTACGACGCTGTTGTGAGCAGTGACCTCGGGGTTCTCGGCGGGGGTCGCCGCCGACGCTGGGGGAATGTTGGAGCTCCCTGGAGAAAACCTCTGTCAGTTCAAAGGGCTGTTCCCTGATATCCGAGGGAGATGACGATTGATGTAGGGTGCCAACTCCAACGGCTCGCACGCCGGGCCAGCTGAAGGGGTATCGGCAGCGGCGATGGCTGCGGGGGGGGGGTGGTGTACGGAGCAGACATTGAGCAATGCCCGAATTCGCCTACCTCCAGCCTTCTTCTTGATGCTCCCCAGCATCCTATTCATGCTGAGGCCCTTCATAGACCTCATGCTGACCATTCGGGGCTCGCACGGCGAGCGTCGGTGGCCGCGCGCAGGAAGAGCGACAGATGCGGCTGGACGAGAGCCTGGAGACACCGGTTGACGATGAATGAACCGCTTCGGCTGCGGGTATAATTGCTCGACTTTTGACCCGGCGGCACAAGACAGACGGATGCAGTCGGTGCGGACTGGAGGGAGGGCGAGTTGGGCCAGTAACAGCACCTGAGAGGCAGGACCAAGCAAGAGATGGGAGATGCCAGCGCAACAAGGGTCTCTCGGTGTTGAGACGCAGTGTTTGGCCGTTGACGCCTCTCGGGGACTGTTGGAGAGTCGCGGACTTTGTGGATCAATCCGGTGGCGCAGAGCTGTTAACGTTAGTAACTCCAAGTAGTAGTTGCTGATTAGCTGGCCTGTCACCTGCCAGCCTGTTGGTCCGGCAAGTACGTACTACTGTCATGTGCAGCCTGTTGTGGGTCGAGCGCTGTTGGCCTCAATGTTCAAGCCTCGTCTGCGTCGGCAATGCGGGCAAGTGTGGGGATGCCGTTCAGTGGTTGGTGAGCACAGAGCACCGAGCACTGAGCAGGGACGGCGCAAGAAGTTGAGAACTTAAGTAGGTATATATATACCTACTTTACCCACCTACGTGGTATACGTCGTCTGGTATGTTGTGCTCTGTGCTAATAACTAAGCAGTGTAGTGACATGGTTCAAAAGGTTCAGTCAATGGTCGTCAGGGCCACACAGGTAATGCCCATGCGGCGGCGCACAGAAACACGGTGCTGGGCCAAGGAGCGTCAGGGTAATTCATTGGGACCGAGTATGGAGTACACACGGCGAGCAAAAATGACAAGCCGAGGGATTCAAATCAAATCAGGCATACACACAAAACAGAGGAAGAACCACTGAGAAATATATATCCATGTCGGTTGATCGAGGCCACCAAAGGTTGTCCAAAGTGCTTGGCGTCCACGATGAAAATCGGTCAGCGGACGAGTCAACGGTCGGCGTGACGTGTCAAGCACTTGCCGTGTCAGAGGACACGCGTCTAGTCCAGCTGCCAAGAAGTAAGTAACTTAGGTAGTTTATCGTCTGTACTTGCATCTCAAGACCCCAAGTACCTACTTTAGGTAAGTAGGCACTTAAATACTCAAGTACCCTGTATGGCTAGTACCCAACACCTACACAGGCACCTGTTCTTGTGACTATCCTTGTAAAGCTATTATTGACAAGTCAGCTAAATGTAATTCTCTACTAGTACATAGTAATTTCCCATCCAACTTGTGAGCGCTCGGCTGTCTTCTGAAACTAGGGCCGCGCGCGCAAGTAAATTCGACGTAACTACACGCTTAAGTACTTAATAAGTAGAGGTATTGGGAAACAGCCACTGATGATTCGCCTGCTCACACGTCACCCACGCAAGGGGGGTTGCTGAAGTACCTACGTACTTGAGTAAGCAGGATGCGTCATCCTATCCCATCCCGGCCGCAACGCACAGCCTCCTACCGCTACGCAATCACTTGACATCCTGTACACGTACATGGAACCACTAGGCACAAGGTCGCTTGGAAGCATGACACTACGCACGGATAGCGTAATCGTAGGTGCAAGCATAGCCGCGTCGACACGAAACGCAAGTGTAGGAACCTAGCTTTTCTTTTAAGGAAAGAGAGAGGAAATAAGTGTTGCTAATATTTTAGCTTAGTTTTAATATATATATATATATATTAATTACTCTAGATAGCTGTAAAGCTATATAACTAGTATATCTACTTTTTATATTAAACTTAGAAAACTCTTTAATAAGAAGAAAAACTCTACTTACTACTATTTTTACTTTCTAAGCTAGCTCTAGCTTTATACTAGCTAGAGTCTATCTATTTTCTATATATATATAAATATTACTAGCTTTACTAGCTGTATTTTAAAGAGGTAAATAGTTCTTAGAAATCTAGCTTACTACTAGCTTTATACTAAATTTATTTTGCTTCTTTCTAGTTATTTATTACTTTCTTTATTTTCTAATTATTCTCTCTCTTTAGAGATATAGTTTATCTTAGTATAATATATTATTTATTACTTTCTTAAAAGTAAGTTAGCTTAGCTTTAAACTATTATATAACTATTAGTATAAATTTAAGTATTTAGCTATAATAACTTATATATTTAAATTTACGTTACTTTTATTTTATATTAGCAGTAGATACTGCCTATAATAAAAAATATATATAAAAACAAGAGAAATAACTACTATATATAAATTGCTTATAAGGAATGTTTATATATATTTTATATATAAAGATTTAATATACTTTATATTTATATTTCTTTATATATATAATAAAGTTTTTAGCCTCTAGTTTATAGCACTACTGCACTAGCTTAAGACTACCTTTAAAATATAAATTAATATAAAAACTTTCTTTCTTATACTTAATTACCTCTACTTATAATGCTATATAGTAGCTATACTAAAAGTAAGGTAGTAGAGAAAATACTAATAGTAATTAATAGTAGTAATAAAAAGCTTACTTAGAGTTACTACTACTTAAATATAAAAAGAGAATAGTTTAATAAATAAAAACTAAGTAGTAATAAGCTACTTATAACTTAAGACTAACTTAATAATACTTAAAAAAAATATATATAATAAACTTATAAGCTATATTTTAAAGAGTAATACTCTTAAGAAAGTATAAGTAATACTTTAAGTATATATTAAGGTAGAAGTATATTAAGCTATAACTAAAGTTATAATTAACTATAATAATACCTTTATAACTTAAAGATAGTTATAAAAAGCTATAATAATAGTAGTAAAAAAAGCTATAAAGATAGCTAAAAAACTATAATTATAAGTAAGTATTATAGCTAAAGTATATTTAGCTTAAGCTCTAGTCTCTCTCTTTCTCTTTATTTTAATATAATAATATTATAAAGTACTTATAAAAAGTAATATTATTATAAAAGTATATAAAAAGTAAGCTATTATTAATATAGTATTAGCTATAAACTAAGCTATTAGCTATAATACTACTATTACTATAAAGCGCTTACTAAGTAGTAATACTATAGTAACTTTCTAAGGTAAAGCAAAATAATATTAAGAGAAAACTAGCTAAGTTTAAGCTGCTTTTAGCTTAAATATAACTATATATTAATATATACTTAGTATAATTATTAAAAAGTTCTTTACTAAATATATAAAGATTAAAGACTTTATTAAAGAAATAGTAAAAATAAATAAAGTAAAAGTTATATAAACTACTTTATAGTAACTTTATAGTAAGTCTACTATAAAAGTACTCTTAATACTAAGTATAAAAGAACTAAAAAATACTAATAAATTATACTAAAAAGGCTTAGTTTTTTAAGCTAAAATATTAATATTAAACTATATAATAAAGCTCTCTACTTAAGGTAGTACTTTAACTACTATAGTATTAAGTATATAGCTAAATACTATAAAGTAATACTAAGATATAGCTAGTATACTATTAAGTACTATATAAATAGAGAATAATTATATTTTATAACTACTAATAATATTAAGAAAAAGTATATTTTATATAATAAAGTATACTTAGCTTAAAACTAAGCCTACTTTATTTTAAAGAAGTATTAAAATAAAGCTAAAAAGAAATACTTAGAATACTTAATAAAGTTTATAAACTATGAATACTTAGACTACTACTACTAATAAATTATAATTAACTTTAACTTAAAGTTAAGTAGAGAATAGC